TAGGGGTTGGCACGGAGAGGGTGGTGGTCCAAGGACAGACAAAGATGTCATTGCTCTCCAAGAGTTGCCACCTCCCAGCCCTATTCAATCCTGTAATTAAGACACCTCGGCAACAGAGCGAGCCATCAGGTGGAGGTTTCTGAGACTGGCTGATGGCAGGGGGAGCTGGGCAGGGCTGGGTGGGGCAGTCCATTCAGGCAAAGGCACATCCTGGGCAAGGATCTCTGCCTCAGCATGGACAAGTGTGCTTTTCCTGCCTGGATAACTGGTCTCCCACACAGACAGGACAGGTTCCCTTGGACAAAGGTGGACGAACAACAGTATTGCTGGGTGCTGAACCCTGTGCTGGGGGCTTGACACACATCCTTTCTCAATCCCACAGCACATCCCTGTGTTATGTACATAGAAACCACCGAGGCTCAAGAGGTGCAGCTTCTTGCCTAGTTAGGGGTGTGGGCAAATCCGCATCTGTTTGGATGCTCCCTCAGGTTATTATAATGGAAAGGCCAAAGGACTGAAGGATTACGACCCTGTTAAAAGGATCTGGGAATTCCCAGGACACAGTGGCTGTGTGCCCTGGGATAAGCCACCTCTCTCTGGATCTCCGTTTACTCACCTAAGTAATGAGGTTCCCAACTCCGACCTGCCTCAGTTAGAGGGTCAAGTGAGGCACTGGACGAGAAGGGCTTTGCAGAGTGATCTGAAGGGCAGGGGGCTTGGTGACACTTGTTCAATCCATCATTAGCTCAGGCTTCCCTCCATACCCCTCTCCCTCCCATAAGCATTTACCCAGCACTCTCTCTAAACCAGGCTCAGACCTGGACTGAGGGCCGTGGCTGAAAATGCCCAGCTTTTGGAGTTGTCTGGCTTCGAATCCTGATCCTGTCACTGAATGGCTGGTCCCGTCCCTCTCTGAGCCTCAGTTTCCTCATCTTGCCATTGTCCACCTCCCAGGTTGTTGTGAAGGTTACGATGACTCAACAGAGGAAGAGCATGAGCCCCAAACGAGTCCCTCCCTCTTTTCTGGGGAGATTCTGATTCCTGCAGCAGGATCCCTTCCCTCAGAGCTCGACGTCCAGGTGTGGGCAGGGGAGGCGTGTCCTCAAGTCACTGTGGAGACACCTGGCATCCAGTCTGGCCAGGATGCTGATGCTTAGGCCGTAGGGCAGGTGCAGAGGCAGTGCTGGGGAGGCCAGTGGGGGAGGAAGAGAAGCCACAGCACAGGGCCTGTTGGGACTTGATCCTGGAGCAACAGGGAGCTGAGACCACTTGGAGAATGTGCTCAAGGGCGAGTCTGGGGTGGCCCTCGTGCCAGGATGTGGAGTGGGAGTTTATTGGTCCAGCAGTGGAGAGCCACGGCTAGTTCTTGAGTGGGGGAGGGGAAGGCCAGGATGCTCCTCTCTGACGTAAGGGAAGCCTGGGAATGTGGGAAAGCCGTGGAGAAAGGCTTCGTGTTTCCACCTTTTCAGGCCCCTTCCCCGGGGTGTGTGTGTGTGTGTGGGGTTTCTGAGCACCATGGAGACCACCCCCACTGCAGCTGGGTCTCTGGGGCTGGAGGAAGACTGGGAGGCTTTCCAGGGAGCCCCTGCTCCACTGGGAGGTGTCCGCCTGGGGCCTGGGAAGCAGCTGGCATCTAGCAACCCTGCAATTAGTAGATAAAGCAGGCAGAGGAGCTGGGTGGTGCTGGAGGGGGGTTGGGGGAGGCGGCGGGCTGAGAGTTGCAGCGGGTTCCTGGGTGCTGCCTCTGCCTCCAGCCCCCGACCCACTGCCCCAGAAAGGATGCCTCAGTGGCTAGAGGGCCCCCAGGTAGACAAGCCACCTAGGGTCTCGGGAGGGAGTGCAGAGTGACAAGGAAAGCCAGAAAGATAATATTAACAGTATAATCACATTACTCAATGTGGGTTTGGACAACCCATTTGTTCCTGTTTCCATTGTACGGATAAGCAAACTAAAGCCGAGAGAGAGGCAGACGTTTACCAGAAGACACACAGCCAATCAGAAAGCAGGCTGGGGTCAGAAGCTAGTTTTTTGTCTGGAGGGCTGTAGTGTAGTCCACGCCTGGACATGGATTTCAAGGCAGGGAACCCTAGGAGCTGCCTGGTAGTCACGCTGGGCAAAGCAACCTTGGCTGGAGAGCAGACAGACTCCAGGCCCCCAGACCTGCACTATGGGGGAGGAGGGGCCGCAGGGTAGTCTGGCCCAGCCGGTTCTCCAGCCTGTCTGGGCACTCCAGGCCTGTGAGGAGAGGCCCTGGCAGGGATGCCCCTGAGCTGACTGCCTTGGGAGACTTCTATGCTCCCTTCTAGGAGGAAGACTGGTGTGGCAGTCACTGCAGTGTGGCTGGGGGTGGGGTGGGGTTCTGGCTTCAGCCTCCTACCATCCCATCCATCCCTCCTTCCATCCATCCATCATTCTTTCCCTCCTCCTTCCCTTCTTCCCTCCCTCCCTTCCCACACTTAAAGATGCCTACTAGGCCACAGCACTGTGTGGCTGCTGGAAGGACTCTCTGCCCTCCAGGAGCAGCTGGTGAGGCAGGCAAAGCAGAGCAAACACCCACTAACACTAAGAATGAATCACGCAGGCTGAGCTTCGAAGGGCTGGTGGGACTTTGGTTGGGGCAGGGCAATTCTGGGTGGTAGTAAGGGGGTTCAGCCTGGCTGGAGCTGCAGGGTTTGTAGAGGGTGGAGTGGAGGTGGGGATGCAGAAGGCAGGGGCCGTATGGCGCCTGGCCTTGGAGGGGTAGGGGTAGCGGTCATGCTCAGGAATGTGGGCTCTGGCCTCAGACCGCCTGACCTGGGATTCCAGTTTCATGAGCGATCGACTGTGTGGCCTTGGGATAGTTACTTGCTCCTTCTGAGCCTCTGGATCCTTAGCATAAAACGGGATGAGGAGGGCGTGGTGGTACCTGCCTCATGGCTGTTGGGAACAACCAGTGACATGAAGCACATGAGGCACTCCATGCGGCTCGATAAATACAACCTGTTCTTGGCAGTCGCCCCTGCAGGGACCTGGAGCCTGCAGGAGTTCTGAGCCCTTGAGTGGCACGTGTACTTGGCCTGACTGTATCTCACACTGACTTGACTCAGTGCCTCCCCTCTCGTTCACTGAAGTTTCCTCATCTGTTCAAAGAGAAAGTGAACTAGGCCAGAAGGAAAAAAAAAAAAAAAAACACCTCAAGTGTCTCCAAGGGCAAGGCAGTAATTTAAACAAGTGAGGTGAATGCAGGAAAAGGCTGCAGGGAATGGTGGGGACTGCGCTGCAGGGGGTGCCTGTGCCCCATCCCAGGCAGCAGCCGCCTCTCAGCCCAGCAGCTGCGGCCATGTGGGACTGTCAGCCCAGGGTGGTCAGAGGTACTGATTTCTTAAGAGGAAACCTACGCTTTTATGGGAAAACTTCCCATGACTAATATTAGCAATGCATTAAATATTTTTTTAAAGCATGTGAGCTAAAGCTAATGCTTCTATTGGCAGATGCGACCGCCACAACCACTCGGTGGCTTTTGCTGTAGGTGAAGGGGAGCCGCGGAAGGGCTGTGAGAAGGGAAGGGGCCACGCGCTCCAGACCCAGAGAATCACCAGCCCTTTGCCTGCAGCTGTCCCTCCCCTCTAGAGGCCTGGGTTTTCCTGCTTTCAGCAGAGTTGGGAGGCCAGACCCCTCCCTCCTCACTGACATTCTCAGGAGCAGCCCTGCCTGGGAGATAGGGACTGTAAGGAGGCCCCTGCTCAACACTATCTCGCCAGAGGTGCCAGGGAGTCTGGGGGAACCCGCCCGCGCCGGGACGGGTCTGCTCTGTGTCTGGAAATGGCAGGTCAGGCCGGAGGCCTGCGGAGGTGGCTCTTAGGGCTCTTGTTAGTGAGGGCCTGGCTGCTAACTCCTGGGGGTCAAAGGGCAGCACTTTCAGCCTTTTCTGGGGCCAACTTCCTGTTTGGAAGAGAAAAAAGAAAGACCCCAGGCAGGAAATGGTCTTCTTCCCAAAGCCCCTTTTCCACTGGCGCTGGCTCCCAGGGCAAGAGCCATCCATGGGGAATCCCCAAGGCTGTCTCTTCCCTCCCTCCTTCCCCTCAGAGCCCAGGAGGAGACCTAGGGCTTCTTTGCCATGGTGGCAAACCCCGCCTCACTAGCATCATTAGTTTAGGCTTGGCAACAGGGGAAATTTTCAGTGCCTGTGTTTACCAGCTCTCAGCTGGGCTCCTGGGTCTGCCCCACCCCCCTCCCCGGGCTCGAGGTGTCCTTAGGTCCCAGCACTGTAGCCTCAGGGGTCCCTCACACTAGGCCACAACAAGAGTCATTTAGTGTAGCCTCCCACCCCCAGCAGGGAGCCCCTTTTTCAACTTAATTTAACTCTTGTTTGTGCTAGCTTCTCCTTGCACACCCCTAAACACAGGGGACATAGCACCTTTCACATGCTACAAAAATTCTGACAATGCCTCCTTCCATAGAAAGCAGGTCCTGGTGCTGAGAATACACCTAAAGCATCTCATCAGAAGGGCAGGTGTCCTAAATGCCATCTCAACTTTGAAAGATTCAAAAGCATATGCTACCATGTTTCTAATAACTTTCTATCAGATAGAATCTGCTGGCTATAAAATGTTTGGAAATTAGACATCAAAAATATAATTAAAATTGCCTGTAGTTTCACTACCTAGAGCAGGGCTGGAGAAAAGATGAAAGGGTTTATTATGTATTGTCTCCACACCTCCCTCTGGGTAAACTCCCATCATCCACCTGAATTTCATCCCCTGTGCCCGGCTGGCAAATCCCTCCTCTCCAGGGCAGACCTTCAGGTATTTTAATAATAACTAATCTTTACTGAGCTCCAGATGAACTCGTCTAATTCTGTAACAGCTCTATGAGACACCTTAACTTATAGATGACTAAACTCAGGCTCAGAGAGGGCAAGTAACATCCCTGAGGTTGCATAGCCAGAAAGGGACAGAGTGGAGATTTGAATTCATCGGGTGCCAGAATTGAAGTGTCTTCTCCAGATTAGACACCCATTGTTCATTCATTCATTCTTTCTCCCATTCATCATTTATTGAGTCACCCGACATTTCCAAGTTCTGGTTCAGTGCCAGGTGCAGGCTGATGTTGTCCCCCACACCCCCTTGCCCATGTCTGCCACATTGTCAGGATTTTGTCTCAAGAACTTGAACTTCATTTATTACAAAAGACTGAATTCATCACATTGTATTATGAACAGCCCCTGCCTGATCTCCAAGGCCACAAAAGGCAGCCTGGGGCTGGGTCCCCAATAACCCTCCCTCAACAGGGCCCACCCCTGCATCAAGTCCTGGGGGAGTGGGGTCGCCTGGACTGGACCTTAGAGTGGTCCTGTGTTTATAAAACCAAATGGGTCCAAGGACCCCGGGGCACAGGCTTCCTTTCCACAGGGCGTGGGTAGGGTGCGACTGTTGATGCCCTCCTTGGGAGACAAGGAAGTCATCTGTCAGTGGCAGGGAGTGGGATCTGTCCCAGAGCAAGCACAGGCAGCTGGCCAGCCTGGGCCCATGGGGGCCTGCAGCTTCAGGCCAGGGTTGCCCAGCCCTGTAAGGCTCTAGGCCACCTGGATTTGCAGGTCCTCATCCTCGTCCAGGTCGCTGGCTCCATCCCCGGCCTCCTCGGTGCCAAAGCGAGCACTGCGGATCTTCCCGAAGAGGGGGGTGTTCTGCTGCTGCCTGCGGAGCCTGTGGGATGGGGTGGCAGAGGTCAGAGACAGAGTCTGGCCCCACTGCCTCCCTGATAATGTTGCTGCAGCTGCTGCTGATAGCAGCTAAGCCTTCCCTAGCACTTCCCTGCTGCCAGGCACTACTTTAGGCCTTTTACATAGGTTACCTCATCTCATATAATCCTCACAGAAGCCCCTTTTATGATGGATGTGCTATTATCACCCCCATTTTGCAGACAAGGAAACTGAGGCACAAAGGAATCAAGTCATTTGGCCTAAGTCATGTGGACAGTTGGGAGTGGGGCTGGGTTCTGAACTGAAGCAGAGGGAGCAGAGTTGCTGCTGGGGGTGGGGGTTGGTCTGAGCCCCCACATTCCCAGTTTTAGTGAGAAAGTGTTCGGCCCTAGTTCTTCCTCACATTAAAATTCCTAAGGCCAAAATTTATGACTCCAAGAAGAGCTGGTGGAAGGAATCCCCGTTCCCCCTCCCCACCCTTCCCCACCCACCCCCCACCAAGCAAAGTGGCTGTCCTGGCTGCATCTTACTGGAAGGCATGAATTATTAACTTGGCAGGGAGGGGCACAGGCGGGGGCCTCCATTACTGCAGTGATTTAGTGAGCTGTCCCCGGAACATTAAAGCACAAAAAGTTGGAAAATAAAAAGAGGCAGCAGTCCTGGGTGGCCCTGCCCTCCCCATGGAAACACTTGAGAGACTGAGCAGAGCCTGCCTGCCCTTTTTGGGAGTTTATGGCTCCTGAAGAATGTGACCCAGACGGCGGGAAAGCCCCGAGGCTAAGCGGCCTTTGAGGGGTGTGTGCTGCACCCTGAGTGGGCAGAGCTGGCCAGACACTGAGCCTGACTTGGACCTGTGCTGGGCCCCTGCACACTTTGGGGCATCATTCCAGGCAGATGGGGAAACTGAGGCTCAGCTGGTCATGTCACACAGCTGTTAGGTCTGACTCCAAAGCCTGAACTCCTTGCCACAAGATCTTGGTATACAACGGCACACAGTAAATGCTCAATAAATAGTGCACCAAAGGCAGATGGTCAGGGGGTGATCCTGCCTGGCCATCCAGCTGCTGTGTGGCCACGGAAAGACTTATCCTCTTGGGCTTTAGTTTCCTCATCTGCCAGTCCCTGGAAAAAAATCTCTCCCCCTTCCTTTCTTTCACAGAAGGAGCATGATGCTTGTAACACAATATTTAACCCAAATATCAGCCCCCTCCTGAGAGGCAGTAGTGAAAGCAGCAGCAACAGCTGACAATTACTCAGCTTTTATTATGTGCCAAATACTTTTATAAGCATAGGTCAGCTTATTTAATTCTCACAACAATCAAGAGGTAAGAACTATTTTTTTTTTTAAATAGATGACCAGTAAGGGGATCTTAATCCTTGACCTGGTGTTGTCAGTAACATGCTCTCCCAAGTGAGCCACGGGCTGGCCCAAGAGGTAAGAACTTTTATCATCCCTATTTTACAGATGAGGAAACTGACACAGAGAGGTTAAGTAAGTGTCCCAAGACCACACAGCTACTAAGTGCAGGGCCAGGCTTCCCACCACCCAGGCAGTCTGGCTGCAGAGCCCAGGCCTTCTGTATTCCATGAAATAAGAGAACCCAAGAAGTGCTTGGCCAGGGCCCGGCACAGGAAGAGTCACCCACGAGGTAGCTATAATGTTCCTCTGTTCCTCGGGCTTCTGAGCTGTGAAGTGGGGAGGAGCAGGGAGAGGGTGTGATTCAGAGTACAGGGACAGGGATGGGAGCAGGGGGGGAGAGGTGGAGTGTGCTGGGCAGGCCCCCCAGAGACCCTCCCATAATCCCTCACTGAGGCTGATGGATCCTGGTGGCAGCTGAGGGGTCAGGTTGCCATCAGGGCTGAGGCCCCTCCATGATTCCCTGCCCTCCAATTCCTCAGATCCCTGCTATCCTGGGGTCACCCCAGCTCACAACCTTGGAAGCTGCTTTTTCTTCTTGTCAACAAGAAGGGTTGTCACTACCCGCTGCTCCACCCCTTGGACCTGACCTTTTTGGCTGCCCTTCCTGCCCTCATTTCGCCCACCTGCCTGCCTGCTGGCACAGACAATTCCAGGGCCCCCACTTCGCCTGACTTCCTGCTTCCCCCTTCCCTGGTTTCCTGGCCCTGGCCCTTCCTGCCTGGAGGGGACAGGATTCTGGCTCCAGAGCGCCTGAATCTCCTCCTTCTCTATCTTCCCCTCTAGCCCTAGTTTAAGGCTTTACCCCTGCCCAGCTGGAAGTCTCTCTGCCCCGTATCTGTGCCCCAGCTGTGAATCATCTCCACGCTGGAACCCCGGCCTGCCCCCAGGGCCCACCTGGACTGCAGGTGCTCCAGCTGCACTTGCAGGTTCTCGCTCTGCTCCGTCTGCTCGTCCAGCGACCGCTGCAGCTTCCGCGCCTGGTTGTGGGCCTCGTCCAACTGGAGGTGCAGGGGCCCGAGAGCATGGGGGTCACCTTGGGCTGGGGCGGCCTAGCCTGCCATCTGCCCAGGACCGGCCACTCCCACCGTTCCTCTCTGGGCATGTGCTCCTCTGAGAGTGTTTGCTCCTTGAGGCCTAGACCAAGGTCCACCTCCTCCAGGGGACCATCCCTCATTCTCCATCCCTATCGCTCCCATCCGTCCTTCCAAATCTACCCATCCTCCAGGACCCTGGAAAAAAATCTCTCCCCCTTCCCTTCTTTCACAGGAGCATGATCCAGCCATCCGCCCGCCTATGCATCCATCTCCATCAGTCTTTCACCCGGTCATTCATCCATGGAGATGTTCGTCCGCCCATGGAGATACTCACCCCCCCACCATTCATTAATCTAATCAGCTCCCCACATGCCCTTTCACTCTCCGGACGTACTTGTCTTCCCATCACCCTGTCCTTTCCCTCTGTCCATTCATTCTTCCACTCACTGATACAGTCAGTTGTCCAACCATCTGTCCACTGTCTACCCATCCAGTCATGCATCTGTTTACACAGCCATCACCTACCCATCTGTCTGCAGACATCTGTCGTTATACCTCCTCCGTCCATCCTCCCTCTGTCCCTCTCCCATCCATCTGTCCACCTATTCCTTCCTCCATCTGTTCATCCATCCATGGAGTCCTTCTCTGTCCTTCCATTCAACCGTCTACATATCCACCTATGCACCTTCCATTAACCTACTCACCGCTCATCCGCCTTGTCTCTCCATGTGCCTTCCCATCCTCCTCCCCACACTCCTATCCTACCACCCATCCATCGCCCACCTGCCCACTCTCCCCTGGGCACCTCCTGAGGTGTGGGCTTGTGCCAGGTTGGAGGCCCAGCATGGAGTACCCCAGGAGGGCCCTGCAGCTCCTCTCTTCTCTGGGCCAAGGTCTGAAGGCTACTCCTGGGGGCCACAGTGGGGACTCACCTCATCCTCAGCCTGGGCCAGCTCCTTCTTGAGCTCCTCCACCCGAAGCCGCAGCTTCTTTACCTCTGCCTCATGCTGCTCTACCCGTCGGTTGGCATGAGCCAACTCTGCCACCTTCTCTTGGAACTGCTTCTTCAGCTTGCCATGCACATGCTTCAGGTCTGCAAGCTCCTGCAGGGGGACAGAGACAGGGTGGCAGGGAGGGCTCAGTGTCAGCCTGGGCACATGCCAGTGAGTCCCCAGGGTCAGGCAGTTCTAGGGGTGCTGGGTGTGTCTCTTCTTCTCAGAACCTTTCCACCTACCATTGGCAACACCAGCATTAGAGGTTTGGTTGAGCAGCTGGAGTCTGGAGATGCCATCTAGTGAGGTGAGAAGGCTTGGGGGGCAATGGAGGAGAAGGCTCGGTGGGTGGAACCAGTGGCTCCATTTTGGACATGTAACTGAGAAGCCCACTGGATACGCCGTGGAGCTGCCCAGCAGGCTGGTAGGGCTGACAGTCGGGACTTCTGGGCAGGGGTGAGGTCAGGAGTCCTTGGTGGTATATACGTGGCATTTAAAGCACTGGGTCTGGGGGCGAACTAAGCTGGGGAGTGGGTGTCAGAGAAAGAGATCAGAGGCTGGAGTGGCTGGGAAGAGAATGAGCAGCCAGCCAGCAAAGGAGATACCCAGGCCTGAGATCTGTGATTTCTCTGAGCCTCAGTTTTCACTTCTGTAAAATGGGGATGGATGGGCACTGCCTAATGGCTTCTCGAATCCATTCTTTGTTCCATCTCCATCAACCGCAGGCTGGTCCAGGTCTCCATCATCTCCTGCTGCTTAGGAACAGCAACAGCACCCCTACCCCCTGCCCACACACACACTGGTCTGCCTTCCCACTGACTTCCACGCAGCAGCCAGTGAGCACTGGGGACAGCAACCTGCTCACCGCAGAACAGGGCCTGGCATACAGTTAGTGCTCAATATATGTGGCTACTATAATTATCTCTGCGCCTGGCCCATAGTAAGTGCTCAATAAATGTGGTTACTACAATTATCAACTGGCTTGGCACCCAGTGGGTGCTCCATAAATGCAGCTACTATTATTGTCACCAGGCCTGGAATACAGTAGGTGCTGTGCTCTGGCTGGGGGGGCAGGCACGGCCACCCCAGCCCTGGCCACTCCACTCGCTGCCCCACCTTGTTCTTCTCGAAGAGCGCAGCCTGGCTGGCCCGCAGGTCGCAGTCCAGTGCGCTGGCTGTTTGCCGCCGCCGCCGGGCCAGTGCCTCCTCCAGGTCCCCGACCTGTGCCCGCAGCTTCTTGTTCTCCCGCTCGAGGCCCAACTTCTCTGTCTCCAGCCGCTCACGGCGGCCCCACTCGGCTGCATTCTCAGCCTGCAGCCGCTCCATCTGCAACAGGGCAGGACAGGGGAGGGGCACAGAGGGCCTGAGCTGGATGCCCCCACCACCTCCTGTAGCCATTTTTGGCTCCAGGAAGCAGCTGCAGCTGCAGTGGCTATAATTAAGCTGGGCTTATTTCATGGTGTGCAGGATGTGGGGTGCTTTTGGTCTCTGTGTCGGAGAAAGGTCTGTCCCCTGCACATTGGGGTACCCTCCAGGTGTGGCTGGCTCCCCTCAGAGCACAGGCCTGGCTCCTGCCCTTGGGTGACCAGCTGATGGAGGCAGGGCCCCAGCACCCCTAAGCCCCAGGCCCACTCGGGTCCCGCTGGCTGCCTCACCTCACCCCTCAGCTCAGCCATCTTCCTGTCCATGCTGGACCGTGCACCCAGCTCGTCCTCCAGGTCTTCGGACATGCGGCCCAGTTCATCCTGATGTGCCTCCTTCAGGATGCTGAGCTGCAAGGGTATTGCCAGCCTGATTACATGAGAGCCACCAGGATGCACCTGGGAACCAGCTCCGGGAGTGGGCACTGGTGCAGGAGTACTCAGCAGGGAGCTGAGGTGGTGCCCCATTTGGGCACCAGACCCTGAATCTGACCTTCTGCCACTTCCAATGTTGCTCCCACCTCCTTACCATCTAGTCTCCAGGTGTCCAGTCTTGGCCCCCCTGCCAACCTGTTTTCCACAACAGTAGCCCAGAGTAAGCTTTTAAAAAAGATAAATTCAATCATAAGCCCTCTCCACTACCCCAAAAGCCCCTTTGATGGCTCCCAGGTGCCTTAGGATAAAGTCCACCTCCTCTCTCTGGTCTCACAGAGCTCCGTACGATCAGACCTCTGCCCACCTTGTCAACCTCATCTCCCACCTCTCTCCCCTTAGTTCACCGTGCTAGGCACAGGGGACTTGTTTCTGTTCTTCAAATATACCAAGTTCCTGCCCACCAGAGGGCCTTTATACGTGCAGGTCCCTCTGCCTGGAACACTCTTTCTGAGTTATTTTGCAGGATTGACTATTCTTATTCTCAGGCCTGGGCCTAAATGGCCCCTCCTTAGGGAGGCCTCTCTCCACCAGGCCAGAGGAGATTCCTCCTCATCCCACTCCCCACTAGAATACAAGTCTGGGAGGACAGGGAGCTTGTCTGTCTGTCCACCTTTGTATCCCTGTATGGCCTTGGCACAGGATAGTCCTCAATGTATAGACTGATGTCAACACTGGTCTGCACACAGGTGCATCAGAGTTGCTTGGGATGCTTTCAAAATAATACAATTCCCTATTTGTATCGCAGCAAACCCCAACAAACTGCTGCTCCATGCAACCATACAGATGAGTCCTCAGTACACAATGTTGAGGAAAAAATGGCAGATACAAAAGAGAACCTTTACAACTTCCTGCTAAACTGCACCTTTGTGTTTCATTCAATTTTCTTCAGATGAGTATACTTCTTCACAATTTGAAAAGACTAAAAAGACAGGTTCCTGGACTCAATCTCCAAAGATATTGATTCAGGAAGGCGGGAGTTGGGTCTGGGAATCTGTATTTTAGGAGATTCCCTAAGAGATTCTAACATAAGACCAGTCTCAGTCCCTTCCAGGGCAGTTTGAGGTTCTGAGGTCTGTGGTCCTCCCACCTTCTGGAAAGCCAGGGGATCGAGTTTGGCTTTCCCTGGGTGGCTGCGCCCCCTGGTGGCCACTGAGGCCCGCACAGGAGGCAACAGGCAGCCTAGCCTGCCCCGAGCCCCATTCTGCAGTGATTGACTGCCTTCTCTGGAGCCTCCATTTCCTCATCTGTAAGATAGGGGCATAAGGACACAGCTCCCTTGACTGCCATGAAGCTTCAACGATATCTGGCACATCCAGACTCTTCTTCATCTTGGTCTCCAAGGCCCCTTGATCTAGCCCCTCTTGTGACCTCAACTTTCACTTTCTTCTCTCCAGCCACACTGGCCTTCCCTGTTTCCCAAACACACTAGGCTCATTCCTGCCTCAGGACCTTTGTACTTGCCGTGCCTTCTGCCAGGAACACTCTGCTCCGTATCTTCTCAAGGATGGCTTCTTCTAACCCCTTTAGGTCTTGCCTCAAACGTCACCTGCTTAGAGAAGCCTTCCCTGATCACCACCCCATCTCTCTCATTTTGTTTTGCCTCCTTAGTGACTCATGAGTTTATCTGCCTGGATAGTGTCGGTCTCCCCCACCCGTGGCCTTTACAAAGTGAGCTCCTGAAGGCAGGGACTCTGCCTTCCCAAGAACTCAGAACAGTTGTTGAATGAATGAATTCCATTTGCTCTCTGCTGAAATTGAACAGAGTGATACTGCCACCTCCAGGAAGTCCCCCCTGGTCTCCAAGACTCACTTGTTTGAGCATCTCCTGCTTGGTCTTGCTTAGCTCCTCATACTTGATCTTCCACTGGCTGAGCTCCCCCTCCAGCTTTTCAATGTTCCTGCTCAGTGCCAGTTTATCTCTAGGGAAGGGACAGACACAGGGTTGAACCTACCAGGGCCCTCTGCTTGGAGTCCTCACAGAGGGTGGCCCTGCTGATACACTGCACCTGTCAAGCCCACGTCCAGAGTCCTTGCCTCAGTATTGAGGGTCCTGGTAACCCACACTCTGGCAAGCACCCCGGTTTAGCATTTCCCTGCAGTTGCACACCCACCCAAGTGCAGGTGTCTAGTTCATGGTGCAGGGAGATGGTCAGGTCTCCAGGGCACTGGGAATTCCCAAGCCCGTGCCTCCCTCCCTTTGGGCCCCAGGTTCATCTGTCAAGGCTACCCTGCCCCTATCTGCTCTACATACTGTGGATCCGTGTAAGGCTTGGTTTGAAAAACGGCTCTGTGGCTACAAAAGCTGGAAAACACTGTCCAGTGACTCTTGGAGGGAGGGGTCCTCTCTTGCTGTTATCACTGTGTAAGATCCCCATGTTTTCTTGTGACCCCCACTCTGCTCTCTGCCTGGAACATGAATGAAGTGCTGTGGGTAACGAGCATGGTGCCTGGCCCCAGCACACAGGAGGTACCCACCCATTGCTGAGCTTATCATCACAGTCCAGCAGGCCATGCTTCACAACCCCATACCACCGTGGTCTCCCTTTCTGAGAGTGTAATACTCCACACTCTAACATGGGGTTCTCAGAGAGTACAAGGCCATCCTCTAGGAAGCATATTGGAAATCTATGGAGACATTTTTGGTTATCACAATGATTAGGGTTCACTTAATGGGCAGGGGACAGGGGTACCTGATGCCCTCCAATGCCCTGGATGTCCTGTCATCTAGGCGTTGTCTTGCATCCTGTTGAATTGTGCATGTCCTGCTGGACATCCCTGGGGGTGAAAATGATCTGAGCCTAGAACCTCATTCTGATTTACTTATAAACAGAAAGTTTGTTTTGTACTAACATACGCTGAATTTCCCAGGAATGGAATCACTGTGTAAACTGAGGGAAGACTGCACTTTTCTTTGTTTAGAACTTTACCAAGGGCTGTTCATCTCTCAGCAAATCTCGTCACCACAGTCATACCACTCGGGTGTCTGTGTTGCCAGCTCCGTGCACCTGCACAAGCTGCTTCTATAGCTGTCCTAGAAGGCGACTGAAATGAGCAAACACACCAAAGCCTTCAGCACAGTGCCTGACTTGGAGCACCTGCTATGTAAGTGTTTGCGGTTATGGTCATCACTATCATTCTGTATAAAGGCACCCAATTCTTACTACTTCATTATTTCTTCTATCAGAGCCGCAACATGTATGTTTTTTTTTTTTTTTTTTTTTTTTTTTTTTTTTTTTTTTTT